CCCCCCAGCTCCAGGCTTGGGCACCTCCCCCACCGCTATGGCCCTCTGTCTTTTCCTTCCTCCAAAACAGCAGCCCACAGATACATTTTTTCCCAGCCCACCCTCCCTGCAGGCCGCCAGCATGTCCTACTGCATGAACCTCCATGCTGTCATCTCAGCCACCCCAGCCTCTGCAGAATGGCCCTTCCTGGGGCCCATACAGTTGGCAGTGGGTAAATGCAGGCATGGAGAGGGCATGCATGTCTTTTTTTTTTTTTTTTTGGCTTTTTTTTCTTTATTGATTAAGGTATTACATATGTGTTCTTTTCCCCCCATTGTCCTCCCCCCTCCCCCCGCTCCCGCGGCATGCATGTCTTTTTGGGGGAAAAACTTGAGGAAAGGATGTGCAGCTTCCTTTATCTACCCTGTGGTTCTCAGCCCCTCACATTCAGGAAGTTCTCTCTGTTGTCTGACCTCAGTCTCTCCTGCTGCAGCCCATTTCCTCCTCTTCCTATGGAAGTGTATTGCAGACGTCTTCCTCTGGAGGACCGGAGACAATTAGTCTTTAAGTCCCAGAAAGCTTGTTCCCAGCAGGAGGGCAGTTGATTTAAGGGTAAGAGGAACTGAATAGAGATCATCTCCCAGGAGAGACAGAGCGGAAAGGATGGATGTAAGGAGCAGGGTTCAAATACCAGCCCTCTTAGCTACCTATTAGCTAACCTTGGGCAAGTTATTTAATATGGCGGACTCTCAGTCTCCTCAACTGTAAAATGGGTTAATGCTTATCTTGTGCACATTGGTTATGCAGATGGCTATGAGGATTGATGTCCATGGAAGCCAAGAATCTAATACTATGTATGCCCAAGGCTGCATTAACTCGTAATGAGTCATTGTTGTTATTGTGTTAACATTATGAAAGGCATCTCCAGCCCAGGGCCAGGCTGAGGTAGGCCAGTGAGGCCTCCGGGGTGCAAAATTCAAAGAGGCCTCGCTCTCAGGGCTGTGCGGTTGCACTTGGAGCAGCCGGAGAATGGTGCCTCCTTAAACATTCTGCTCTTAGCCTCACCCGAGTCCCTGCCTTGCTCCAGAGGGTTTGCGATCCTAGAGTAGAGTCATCCTCAAAGAGCAAGACTTGGTCATCAAGTGGCACCAGGTCCATACCCTGCCACCGGCTCCTGAGCTGAGCTCAAGTTGTCCAGCCTGGAGGCCAGGGGCATTCTGAAGACCCCTGGTGGGGCTGTGGTCAGCTGCCCAGAAAGTCTGGGTCCTTGAGATCTAGTTTTTTTTCTGGGACTGGGCAGTGGGTGGGGACAGATGGGGACAGTCCCCATCTGGGCTCCATCTGCTCGGTCCTTCTGCAGCTGAACCTCAGGAGGAAGGAAGAGAAGAGCCCACAGGGAGGCGGGGGACAGGGTGGAGGGGCTTCGAGGGGAGCTCAGCAGTGGGCTTTACAAAACTCGTGCCAACTCCAATCCTGCCATTAACGTTACCCTGAGAAGCTGGGCCAGTCAGACCTCTCTGCACCTCAGGAGGGAGGAGACGGGGTCTGAAGTCCCTCTCAGAGCTGTTCTGAGGAGTGGTGTGGGAGGATGGAGGTGTGGGTGTACACGTGTGTGTGCACGTGTGGGAGTGGGTGGGGTGTCTGTGTTGCTGAAGGGGCTCTGCCAGCCATTGGAACTCTGGGGCGGCCACTTCAGGAGTCCACAGCTGGGGTGGTCTGGGAGCTTCCCTATAGCATGCCCAGGGCCTGGGGCAGGCTTGGCTTCAGGGGAGGCCACCCTCATGTTACCAGTCCCTTGCCTTTTTCATTCCCAGTCGGCCCAGAACTGGCAGTTCCTGGGAAACAGAAGCAGGACTTCAGTCCCGGAGGACTGGGAAGGGGAGGGTGGGAGCACGGCATGCATGCTGGGCCGTGTTTGCAAACACTGCAGGAAAACGCTGGGTGTTCAGGTCAGGAGGGGCTTTTGGAAATTTTTAGCTCTTCAGAAAGCATCTCAACCAGTAAGTTGAAGGCATTTGATGGCTGGCAAGCGTCTTTCTGTGGCCGGCTTCCAGCTGGCCCCGGGGGAAAGGGGTGGGGGCCAAGGTTACGGTGCTCAGATGATTGTTGGCAGGGAGAGAAGTTTCTCTTGCACTGCTGAGGCCTGTGGTTTCTAATATTGACTCCGACTCCCAGTTCTGCTTTGTGCCAGACATGGGAGGGGTTGGGCAGGAGGGTCAAGGTGGGGCAGGGTGGGCCACAGGAGGAGGGCCTGGGAGTGTGTGGGGTGGAGAGGATAAATAACTGCTAGCATTTACTGAGCACTTTCTAAGTGCCAGGCCCTGTTCTAAGTGCTTTATGTGCTTCCTCTCATTTGATTCTTTCAACATAGAGCCAGTCTGTCCCATTGAGGAGCAGCAAGGATGAAGCGACCCGCTTGAGGTCACACAGTTAGCGGTAGAGACAGTCTGTTTAGACCAGCGCTTCTCAAAGGGCCATCCCCAGACCTGGAAACCTGTTAGAAATGCACATTCTCGGGTCCCACCGAGTTCTGCTGGATCAACCCTGTGGGGAGGGCCCGGCCCCTGTGTGTCCACAGCCCTCCAGGTGTTTCTGAGTCACGCTCAAGTTCAGGGCGCCCTGGCTCACACTCTGCTCTTCAGGAGAGTCGTGGCCTCCGGGAGGTTTCCCCCAACGCTGGATGAGGGCTCTCCAGGGCCTGCAGTATCCTGGGCAGGCACTTCCTCTGCAGCTTCTCCATCTCACCCCATTGCTGTCCTTTCTGAACAGCCTGTCTGGAGAGGCTGGCTCAGCAGAGTGAAGAGTGAGGGCTTTGGAGTGGGGAGAGCTGGGTTCAGATCTCTGCTCTGCAGACTCTGCATATAGAAGGTCTCTGTGATCTGCCCTCCAGGTGTGTTCCTCCTGCCCCCAGGGGCCAGAGAGGAGGTGGTCCTGCCCAGGCCACGGTCTCCATGGGAGCATCACAGAGCCCTGGATCAAAGGGACAAGTGGGGGTCAGAGGGCCAGGATTTCCCAGTGGGCTCATTTGCCCCTGGCCCAGTGGCCTGTGGCTCAGCAGGGGGGGCTCTGGGAGGTGGCTGGGCGAGGATGAGGCTGGGCTGGGGCAGGATGGGATGTGTCATCTTTACTTCTCCAGAGCCATCCTCAAACTCCAGGTCGGTCGACCTGAGGGCTAGAGGGGCTTCCTGATGTGCCTCCCCACCTCCTACCCGATTCCTGGACCCTGTCCTCTCTCATCCATCCTAAGCTGCCTTGGCCCTGAAGTACGCTCAGGAGGTTTCATCCCCTGGAAGGAAGTTTTGGCCTCAGCCACCCGTCTTCTTTCCAGGCAGGAGGGATAAAGTCTGGGCCATTTCCAGAAAGAGCACGGCTGCCTTCAGCTTAGCCGGCCTTCTTCCTCCATGTCCGCCTCGGCCAGTTCTCCCTGGCGCCAGACCCTCTCAGTGGTCATTCTGTCCATCCCTCTGTCTTCAGACACAGACAGCTTGCCCCTCAGGTCCCGGGCTGAGACAGTCTGTCTTAACTGGGCCCACACTCATCTCGGCAGAGGCCTGTTTCGTGACCTTGGCAGTCATGCTCACGCCCTTCTGCATGGTTCAGGGGCCCCCGAACCACTTTCCCAAGTTGGAAATGGAGCCCTAGAAACTGGTCAGGAGGAGGCCTTGGAATGGGAAGTTTCTCTCCTGTTTTGGGGGGAGTCCTAGGAACCTGTTTTTCAGGTTGCCTTTAGCAGGAAGCACTTCTATTGGTCTGGGCAGGGGAAGGGTGGCACTGGGGCGAGGGGCAGGACCAGTCCACAGGTGTTTATTGATGGCCTGCTATCCATAACCACAGACCCTGGCATGAGGGATATGGCAAATGAGTTGGTAAAAATGCTGCTTTGAATATGTTTTGGAGGCAGGTGGGATAGAATCACAAATAAAACCAGACATAATCCCATGATATGATTATTCGTGTGCCAATGACCAGATGAATGGCACTGACAGAGAGACGTACTGGAGTTGAGAGGTGGGAGAGAGAGTCCTCCTTGCTGAGGTGTTCAGGGAGGGCTTCATGGAGGAGGAGAGCTTGTAGGAAAAGAGGGGAAGCTGTTCCACCAGGGAAAGCCTGGATGTGAGAACAAGTAAAGGGATGTAGGGGGCAGGTCTGGGTGGAGCAGAGCTTTTGGGCATGAAAACTGAGGTCTGTGAAGGGGCAGGGCCAATGGGACGGGGGTGGAGGCCTTGAAGAGTTAGGACCCACAGGCCTCTCATCCCAGGCTGCTGCCATTTCACACAAAGAGCAAGAAGTGCAGAGCCCAAGGTGGGGTTCAAATCCTGTTGTTCCCATTAGTAGTTGATGACTTGGGCCACTCATTTAACTTCTGCATATCTGTAAAGTGGGCCTCAAAAGTAATAATAGGCCCTGACTGGTGTGCTCAGTGGTTGGAGTGTTGGCTTGCACACTGAAGGGTCTCAGGCTTGATTCTGGGTCAAGGGCACATATTTGGGTTGTGGGTTTACTCCCCATTCCCAGTTAGGCTGTGTGCAGGAGGTAACCAGTCAATGTGTCTCTCTCACATGATGTTTCTCTTTCTCTCTCTCTACCTCCCTCCTTCCCTTCCACTCTCTCTGAGAAGCAATGGAAAAAATATCCTCAGGTGAGGATTTTTTAAAAAAAGGTAATAATGGTGCCTGCATCACAGGGTGCTTGTGGTGGAGGAGATGGTATTGATGAAAACGCCTGGCATGTTGGCACAGTGACGGTTACTCGCTCCTCATTCCTTTTTGAACCGTCAGCGACTGCCCGAGGTAGAGACCTGGCTGATGTTTGTCCAGGTGGATGTTTACGGTACCAATAGGAAGTTTTTTATTTTCCAAACTGTGCCTCCCAACGTGGGGACAGCCAGGTTCCATCTTGGGTTGGAGTCATGTCCTGCCTTTGGAGGCATTCTGTCCCCATGGCCATCGGCCTTGGAGAAAGAGCCAATCTGGGGGTGTTTGTCCTGAGGACTCACGCTGCCTTTTCCCTTTGTCCACAGCCTGTCAACGCGGAGAGTGCACCAAAGAATGTAGTGGACACGGTGAGTGACAGCAGGCCCCGGGGTGGGGTGGCGGGGAGCCGTCTGGGAGGCAGGAAAGCGGAAGATGGATTTGGGGAAAGTGAACAGATGTGTTTGGGGATATCCTTCTGGAGTAGATATGGGGAAGTTGGGGGAAGTGGGAGGGCCATGGGTGACGTTGGGGGCTGGTGCATTTGGAAATGGATTGCTGGGGAACTAGGCAGGCCGAGCAGGAGAGGCAGGGGTGGGAGCGGAGAGAGGCCAGTGGTTAAATGTGGGTTTCTTTATTAAATATGTAGGAATTGAGAAAGCCAGGCAGATCTTTCCCAATAGATCTTTCTGACTTAGCAGAGAGACAGACAATCTCAAGGCTGCAAGGAGGAGGAAGAGGAAAAAGTCAGTGGGCCCTGAAGTGGGAACTGAGGTTAGCAGCTGTGAGGTGTCTCCGGCAATGGCCGGTGTTGAATGGCTTGGAGCGGGAGACTTGGGTTTAAATCCTAACTCCTCGGAGCTCCTAATTGTGTGACTATAGGCAAGTCATGAGCCTGTCTGTGCCTCAGTTTTCTTATCTGCAAAATGAGAGTAATAATATTTCCCAGAGTTGTTGTGAGACACAGAGAAGAGGGTTTGATTAGCTCTGAGAGGCCTTCAGTGGACAAAGAAACGTTAGACAGCCCAGTCTCTCCCACCCCACCCCACCCCACCACGGGCCCTTCTGCAAACCCTCTGACCCCCAACCCCTGCCAAACCCAGCAGGTGAAAGACCTAGTGCCTCTTGATTACTTTCTTTGACTCCCCTTTCTTACTGTCTTGTCCCTCTCTCACCAGGGAGAAGGAACCTTCCGGGGTGGGAACACTCGGAAAAGCCTTGAGGAAGACGTAAGTATGGGGGGGGAGGGTAGAGAAGGATGTGGCTGGGCTCCTGGTGCTCAGAGGGGCTGGGGATGGGTGGGTGATATCTCACACCTCTCTTGTTTGGTGGGGTGTCCCTTCCTCCTCTCCAGAGGGCAGGCAGGGTTGCCCAGCTTGGTTGCTGAGCAAAGGAGGAGGGGCTGGGTGAGCAGACCCCATATACTTATACACTGGGCCTCAGTCTTGGCCTTGGCCTCCAGCTCAGCTGGGTCCAGAGCACTTTTGCCCATCACTTTGCCCGGGTGGGAGTGGGGAGGAGGGTGGGCTTTGTGAGGCCTGGTTGGGTGGTGGGTGAGCATTCACCAAGGTGAAGGCAAGGAGAATGGTCAACACTGTAGGGACCAAGGGCAGAGATGAAGAGGGACTCTTGCTGGGCCTCAGTCTTGGCCTTGGCCTCCAGCTCAGCTGGGTCCAGAGCACTTTTGCCCATCACTTTGCCCGGGTGGGAGTGGGGAGGAGGGTGGGCTTTGTGAGGCCTGGTTGGGTGGTGGGTGAGCAGTCACCAAGGTGAGGGCAAGGAGAATGGTCAACACTGTAGGGACCAAGGGCAGAGACGAAGAGGGACTCTCGAGCCCTTAGAGCAGCGGTTTTCAACCTTCCTAATGCCACGACCCTTTAATACAGTTCCTCATGTTGTGGTGACCCCCAATTTCATTGTTACAAATTGAACATAATTAAAGCATAGTGATTAATCACAAAAAAATATGTAATTATATATGTGTTTTCCGATGGTCTTAGGCGACCCCCGAGAAAGGGTCGTTTGACCCCCAAAGGGGTCGCGACCCACAGGTTTGAGAACCGCTGCCTTAGAGGGTCATCAGATCTTGGGGAATTGCATGCTCTGCTTCTTTGGAGAGAGAAAAAATGCAGAATCCTTTGTGTGGCTCAAATGCCATTGATTCAGGAAGAGCCTGGAAGGTGGGCCGACTGGTCCACGATGCTCCTTCTGCCATGCATTTTTGCTGGAAGTCAGTGAGCATATTTCTTAAGCGGAAGGACCCAGAGGAGGGTAGCGGGGGGCTCTCCCACCACCCTGCTTTGGGCAATACATAGTGATTAATCACAAAAAAATATGTAATTATATATGTGTTTTCCGATGGTCTTAGGCGACCCCCGAGAAAGGGTCGTTTGACCCCCAAAGGGGTCGCGACCCACAGGTTTGAGAATCGCTGCCTTAGAGGGTCATCAGATCTTGGGGAAGTGCACGCTCTGTTTCTTTGGAGAGAGAAAAAAATGCAGAATCCTTTATGTGACTCAAATGCCATTGATTCAGGAAGAACCTGGAAGGTGGGCCGACTGGTCCACGATGCTCCTTCTGCCATGCATTTTTGCTGGAAGTCAGTGAGCACATTTCTTAAGCGGAAGGACCCAGAGGAGGGTAGCGGGGGCTTTCCTACCACCCTGCTTTGGGCAATACTGTGGCGGGACTTGTCCTCACACCCCAGGAGCCGACGCCCGACAGAGTTGGGCCTTTTTCTTCCTTCCCTTCTCTGACAATTTGCCCCTGTGCTGGCCTCTCCATCCTTGCCCGCCTTGATCTGTAGAGGAACAGGGAGTGGTTTTGGCGGTTGGCACAGGGGGAGCTGTTGATGGCATGAGGCCCTATCATCTGACAGCTGCCTGACCCATGGTGGGGAGGGCCCAGAGGGAGGTGCTGGGGCAGCAGGAGGCAGCTTCTGCAGGCGGCAGCACTTCTGCGGTGAGCCCACCGCCACTGCCTCATTGCCCGGGGGCAGCCTGCACAGCGAGGGGAGGCGTCCTCGTCCTTCAGAAGAGCGGGAACATGCCTCTCAAATTAGTGGGGAAGGCTCTGCTCAAGGTAGGAGGGGTCCTGTGAGCACAGGTACACGTGCTGGAGAGGGGCCCTTGTCCGAGTTTGTGATGTTTCTGGGGCTGGAGTGCAGGGGAGAAATTCATTTTTTGTGTACCTGCTATTGAGGACTAACTAGCGTAATGCATGCAGAGCACATGATATGTGCTCAATAAATGGTAGCTGTCTTATGACTACTATTTTGACTGAGGGCCAGGAGCTGGGTTGGGTATTTTTTGATTCCCATGACAGCCCCTATGGCAGATGCTGTGACCCCATTTTGTAGATAAGCAAACAGAGGCTTGGAGGGGCTCGATGCCTCAATGCCTTCTCCATTTCTTCCCAGGATCATTGCTTAGACCTGGTGTTGCCAGGACTCCCAACCTTGGTGTGTGTGTGTGGGGGACAGGGTGATGGTGTGTGAACCAAGACGTTTAGCCAGTGGTCTACAAACTCTTGTAAGTCAAGTCCTAGAGCTGCTGCTCCCACACCCCAGCCTGGGTCTGACAGACCCTGGAAGGTAAGGCTGCAGTAGGAGAGAGTGAAGTTAGACATCAGGAAGAACTCTTTGACACGTGGGTGTGTTTGACTTTAGTCCTGGGGAAGAAAGAGGTGGCCATTTAATTGGGACTGGAGGTTTTATTTAGGAGAAAGTTGTGTTGATCTGGGATGAATGTGTGTGTCAGGGGTGGGTAAGGGTGGTGTCCTGTCTGGATGTGGGAGGAGAGACCAGCGGTGTTTTGGTTGTTAGTCTAGTTTAAGGAGTGCATGAAAGGCAAAGCAGGTTCCAGAATGGCCTGCGTACTGCAAAGAAGGAGAGGAAACCCAAGTTTAAGGTCCCAGACATCTGTTGTGGGTTGGCTGACCTCAGGGTGATTGAGTCAGTCCCCTGCCCAGCGGTGGGCTCCCTGCAGTCTGCCGCAGGTGAAGGGACCCGCTTTCAAGGTGACATGGCTGAAGTTCTGGGCCTGCCGCTGGGACAATACGCCTGTTTTTTTGAGCTGTTTTCCTGTCTCTGGCCCGTGGCCCAGGATTCAGGGCAGGAATGGCTGTTTTCCTCTGACTGCTGGTGTGCAGTGGAGTTCGTGGATGGTGTGCTGTGTCGCACTTTGTTTTGGAAAAATCCAGGCTGGTGGGCAGGAAGGAGAGAGGAAGGGGTGTGGCTGGAGGGGCTGGTGTCGGGGGAGGGGCGGCCACTGCCCTCAGAGGAGACCTAGGAATGGGGATGGGCTCCTGACGTAGGTTGGTCACCAATTTCTGGCTGCCTGACATGGCCCCTGATATTGCTTACACACCCTCCTCCCAACTGTGCCCCCTGGGGACTGGGGCTCAGGAAACAGCTTTTCTTTTGGTCCAGGGCTGTTGTGTTTGGTCTGTGGACCTCAAAGGAAGGCAGGACTCTTCCCACACAGTGGTTGCTCTAACCAACCCCACCCGGGTCCCAGGGTTCCTGCTCCTTGCTGTATGGCGGGGAGAGGGTTGATAACAGAGCATAGGGTCATAGTCTTTGAGCGCTCGGGAACGGCTGAGCGGTGATCAGCAGCGAGGACCAAAGCAAAAAGAGTTGGCTGGACCTGTGGTAGGAAGGGTGAGGGTTAGACATCAGGAAGAACTTACCGGTAGTAAGAGAAGTAGGACCCTGTTTTGGTGACGCTGTGGAATTTCCGTTAGTGGTGTCCTTTCAACAAAGGACAGACTATTTTGGTGACAACAATAGGGGAGAGTTCTTCTTGGTGCACAGGGAATTGGATCAAAAGTCCTATTATTGATCTATGTCCTGGTAGGGGCTGGGAGGCAGTTCGAAGCCCTGTGGAGAGAGAGCTTTGAGAGCCTCAGTGAGGAAAAGAATGGGATGACAGGCAGACAGAGAGCTTAATTTTCTTTTCAAAATAAAATCTTTGTAGTACTCTTTGTAGAGCCTTCTGATAGTTGTCCCTAAGGGCTCTAAGTGGAACAGGTCAATGATGTAGAATCACATGAAACTGTGCTGGACCCATTTTACAGATGGCTCAGTGAGACCGAGGGGCTGCCGCCGCCAGGGCTCCGGTGATGAGTACCTTTCTTCATAGAATAGAAGCTCTCTGAGGTCAGGGCTCCTCCTCCCCTGGGCCCCTGGTGCCTAGAACATTGCCAGGCACGCAGCCTCCAGCACTCAGTGAAAGTTTACTGAAAAAGGGGGTGAGCACGGAGCTGGGTGGCAGAGATGACCACATCTCTCCCCCGTCCCCCAGCCCTCTTGAAAAGGGCCTGCATGCTGAGGCACGCTGGAGAACGCCCGTTTCCAGCCGTGTGTGTGAGGTCACCTGTGTTTTCTTGAGCGTTAGGTTGTGTTTGCTCACAGCCCGCCCCTGCTCTCCCCCCCCCCCTCCTTCGTGGTTCTCTGGTTCTCCCTGCGGCTCTGTGTCCACCGACACTCGGACGTGTCACCCGTGCACGTCTGCTTTCTGCCAGCGAGTGTCACATGCCCCCCAACTTTGCAGAAAACAGGAAGCCCCATCAGTTAGAGGGCAGCCCAGTGATTCATCAGCGGATGACCATCCAGCTGTTCGTCCCCATCCTCTGGTGGGGTCACTGTCCAGGGCAGCTTCGCCCCCGCCCCCCCTTCCCTGGCCGGCCTGCTGGAGGGAGCAGGCTTGGACTTTGCCTTATCACCTCTGGAAGCGGCATGGCCAGACTCGGTTGGGGCCAAGTTTTTATTTATCCTCCCTGGCTTTTTTTGGGGTGGGGAGGCTAAGGAATGTGGAGTGTTGTAACGTTGGGAAGGGGGGTGGGGGAACGGGAGCCAGCTCTCCTGCCCTGCTCATCCTTCTCACTCCTGTGCCGTGGAAGCTCCAGGCCCCCTCAGCCCCCCAGTCCCCCTGCCAGGCCCGTCTCAGTATCCCCTTGTCTCCCTGCGCTCCCTGTGCCTGGACCTGTGGTCCTGGCCACACCTCAAGCCTTGGCTACAGTTGTGGCTTCCAGTTGTTTGAAGCAGCTGTGGTGGCCTCCTCCAAACGTGGCTGTGGATCCGTAACAGATGAAACCCGAGGGGCTATTTATAGCGGGGTGGCCCTGGGCCTGGAGCAGGGCCCACGCCTGGGGAGGCTCAGCGACTCCTCGTCAGGGCCCAGCGCAGTGGAGAGAGATGAAGTGTTGGGTTTCTGCGTTCCGCTGGGTGGGTAGTTTTGGAACAGCCTGGTTTGGGCCTTGAAAACCAAACACAACCCTCCTCACCCCCCCACCCTCACCCCCCCAATGCCTGACTCATGCAAGCCCAAGTCCTCGGGGCCAGGAGAGCTGCGGAGACAGAAGCTTTCTGCCCTGACAGACAGCCCCACTTGGCGTTTCCTCCTGCTGCCCGCCGAGGCCGAGCTGCTCCGGGCTGGGTGGGAGCCCAGACAGAGGGGACTCGGGGTGCAGCTTGCTCCCTGCCGATGGATGGAGAGTCCTCTTAGCGGGGCTGCCCTGACTTTGGGCTCAGCTGGGAGCTGGGCCTCCAAGCCCACCCCTCCCGCCTCGGAGGCTCTGCGGGGCCTGGAGAGGGCTGAAGGGGGTCAAGCCTGAAGTCTGAGGTGAATCCTGCCAGTCGCCAGGACTTGGGGGTGAGTCACTGTTGCCTCAGTTTCCCCTCTCATTGGCAGATTGTGGTCCTGTCTCCTCCAAGAAGTGGTTGCAACTTGGTGGTTGGGAAAGGCTGGTTCCTGGGAGGCCCGTGAATGCTTGGACAGTGCCAATACGCTCAGAAGGCTTGGCTGGGCCTGGGATTCTGGGTGTTGGGTATCCGATTCTGCATCGTGTGAGGTGGCTGAAAGGATGGGCGGTTGGTGGTAGAAGTGATGCAGGGGTTTGATTTGGAGGTGAAGGTTTGATTGTATCCCTAACTGCCCTTATAATTGTACTTGATGTAATAACAGTAACCACATATATGTCACTGTTATATGTGTAATTCCTTTTCATTTTCAAACAACCTATATCCCCACTTTACATGTGACGTTCCAGAGGCTCAGAGCGTTAAGTAGGAAGGCTGCCCAGCGGGGTGCTGAGGGACTCAGCCTGGGCTTCCTCACTGTGTCGTTGGTGCCCTGGCATGTTTTGGACACCAACTTGGGTCCCTTTGCCCGGTTTTGTCTAAGTTGACAGCCCTGGAAATGGAAGGCGGTGAGGGGTAGCATACAATGGGCGGTGGGTCCTTGGGGGCACGATTTGCTGCCTGAGCTGCTCTCCATAGGTGCACGTTGTGCTGGCTGCTCTGTTTCTAAACCTCTGATTGAATGACTCGTGTTGCTGCTTTAAAGAAGAGGAGTGTGGCATGGCGATGGTCGGAGGAGGAAGGTTTAGAGCTGGAGAGAGGTGCCATCACTCACCTTTCCTTCTCTCGTGCTTGCAGTCTGTATCCTCCCCTCGGGGTTCCCATTACGATGGCCAGTGAATCGAGATGAGATGAGTTTCCAGTGTCAGTAACTGTTTTATTGAGTGTGTGCTCAGTACCGATGGCACCAGCCCAGGCGTGGCACGTTTCTCAACATTGGGATTCCTTCCTCGCCGGGGGCTCACACGCTCGCAAGCACACTCACGTGGAATTGGCATAGACTGCTCTTGGCTCTGGGTTGCTTTGTTGCTGTGGTGTTAGGGTGCCTGGGCTGGAATGTTGGCAGAGAAAGGAGAAGTGGATCTGCGTTTGCCTGTGACCCTGACTGCGCCGGTGGACAGCTCTCAGCCTGCCTCCTCCACAATGCTGCTTCTCTTTTCTCTTTTCCAGGGCTCCACCAGAGTCACCCCGAGCGTCCAGCCCCATCCCCAGCCCGTCAGGTATGCCTGGCCTGTGGGGGGCACAGGGTGGGGGTCCTGGCCGTGAGGTCACTGTGGGAGTTCCTGGCAAGTCATGCCTTTGGGTCTCCGAGACCGAAGTCATAAAGCCAGTGGTAGGAAGCCTGGGCAGCCGTGGCACCCTCCCTGGAGGGTGTGGGTGGATGCCGCTTGGAAAGGGTCATGCTCTGGGTTCTAGCTGGAAGCCAGCCTTGAGCCGCATTCTTTACGTACCTGCATGATTCATCTAGTCCTTGCAACAGCCCTGCAAGGTAAGTGTTTTATTCCCATTTGGCAGATGAAGAAACAGTTTCAGAGGTGGCTTGTTAGAGGTCGCACAGGGGCCTTGGTGGCTCGCGGACACAGCCTCTTTTCCCTGCGCCCAGCTTCTCTGGTTCTCTCCTTCTCACCTTCACCCCTGAGGCTCCGGAGATGAGTGAGAATCTGGCCCCAGGAAGATGGGGTCCCAGGGAGAGGGGACCTGGTGTGTGAATGAAACCCCCAGGAGGTTGTGGTCCAGCCACCCGCTGCACTCCGACCTGATCTGCTTTTTAGAAGATCCCCTCCTCCCCCCACAGCTGGGAAGCACCTTGGGTGGGCGGGTGCGGAGTGCGGTGCTGAGGTGGTCAGGCGGTAGCGCTGTTTTGCCTGGCGCAGGCAATGACCTGAGGTACGAGCCAGAAGCTCCTCTTGGGGATGAGGGATGGCGGGGGCTCAGAGCTCAAATCACACTGGACTTTACTGCAGCCACCGGCCCTTCCACCACTTGGTCCCTGTCATTGCCACCATGGAGAAGCCTCACATCACCCCGGCTCCCCCATCTCCAGACCCCATCTACAGAGTTGGGTTCAGAGTTAACCTAGTGGAGACCGGGATTCTGCCCTACTTCTTGGGGGTCCTCCCCAGTGCCGCCCCATCACTTTGAAATACCCTGGCGGTATTTCTCCTGCTGCCTTCCAGTCTCAACTTTACCCCACTGTAGTGACAGGTTATCAAAATGAAATGTGAGTGTTGTCCACCTCGGACAGAGAGGGGAAGCCAGACACTAGGAGACTGCTGATGGGTAAGAAGGTGTCGGGGTGGGGAGCGTGTGCGGTGCTCCCAGAAGCTACAGGGCTTCAGAATGGAATTCCAGCATCTCAAGATCCATTCCCCCTTCCCATCAGCACCCCAGTGGGCCCTTGGACCCTCCCCCTGGAAGAGAAGCTGGGTGAGGTATCAAGATGTGAGCCCCTACCTCCCCTCATCCAGTGCCCAGTTCAGGTGGCTCTCTACTCTCCACGGAGCTCAGATGGTGCTGGGATGTCGGGGGCTCTGCACCCTCTGCTTCCTGGGCCCTTAGCAATCAGGGAGGCCACTGCCACACAGCGCTGGAGTGTGGGAGCTGCCAGAGGGGGGGATCGAGCCAGGGAACAAAGGGCAGGAGTTGGCCTGCCTCCGGGGAGGGCTGGAATGTGTGCTGTGGTCTGGCTCACCTGGAGCCCAGGTGAGCGTGTCACCTGAGCTGCCCCTTCCCCCAAGAGGCCTCCCGCCCACTCCACAGCTCTGAAGCCAAGGAGGGCAGCAGAAGACTCAGCCAGGGAGCTGGGGAGCACTCACTCAGCCTCTCTTTCCCCTTCCACAGCTGTCTCAGGAGCCTTGGAGACACTCCGCCAGACCAGGCTGCAGTGTGTCATGGGGCAGAGCTGGGCTCCTGGGTTCCTGGCCAGCTCTGGCCCTGGCTCTGACCTCTAGGATCTGGGTGAAGGCAGTGCTGAGAGAACTGACGGGCACCTGGGATTGGTGTCATCACCATTTGGTTCTGACACAGCCTGAGATCCTTGCCAGCCCCTGCCCAGCTCTTTCTCTCCGGCGCCCCAAGCTGGCCTTGCTGGCTGCACTGGCCTTGCCAGGGGAAGCCTCGGACCTTGGCTCTGGGTCTGGGAGCAGCCAAACCCCCTGGGTTGGATGTGGGGGCCATGCACAGTGTGTAGGGGGTGCAGATATCTGGTCCTTGCCCTGGGGAACTAGATTCTGATCTACAACCCCCTCTCTGCTAGTCTTCCCAGAAACATGAGTGTGAGCCAGACCATGGAGGACAGTTGTGAGCTGGACCTGGTGTATGTCACAGAGAGGATCATCGCCGTCTCCTTCCCCAGCACAGCCAACGAGGAGAATTTCCGGAGCAACCTCCGCGAGGTGGCCCAGATGCTCAAGTCCAAACATGGAGGCAATTACCTGGTGAGGAAGGGCCTCTTGCCGCTTTGCCAGCGCCCCTCTGCCCTTTCTGCCTGCCCCTCACTGCTGTGTGTGCGTGGATGTGTATGTGTAGTGTGCATGCAGGTGCATGCGTTGACCAGGAGGAGAGAATAATAAGAGTTCATGTTATGGAGCGCGTACTATAAGCCAGGCCTTGTTCCAACTGCTTTCCGCATATTTAACCTTCAGGACAGCCTAGAAAGCAGGTTTTGTTAGAGCTCAGAGAGGTGGGGTATCTGCTTAAGTTCACAGTATCAGGAAGTGGTGGAGCTGGCACCTTGCTGGCACCTATGAGAAGTCTTAAGGCAGAGTTGTGGCAGAGGCGTTGTAAGGGACCTTGTGTTGCTGACATGGGAACTACCTGGCCCAGGAGAGTCACCTAACAAATGTAGGCCACTTTACTGGGAGGTACATGTGACTGGACCAATAGACCAGACTGTGCAACCTTCAGGGGCTGCCCTTGGCTGTGTGAGCAGAGGTGGCTATAGGAGGCTGTATTAGGTCCCTGGGGCTGCTGTAACAAATTACCACAAACTCGGTGGCTTAAAACAACGGAATTTAACTTTTCACAGCTCTGGGGGCTACAAGTCCAAATTGAGGTATTGGCAGGGCCATGTTCCTCTGAATTGTGTAGGGGAGCACCCTGCCTTGCCTCTTCCTGGCTGCTGGTTGCTCCGGCATCCCTGGTGGCCCCCGGCTTGTAGGTTCATCACTCCGATCTCTGCCTCCGTCGTCACAGGACCTTCCTTCTTTCCTGTGACTCTCTGTGTGTCCTTTCCTCTTCTTATAAGGACACCAGCCATTGGATTTAGGGTTCACCCTAAATTCGGGATGATCTCATCTCCAGATCCTTAACTACTTACATCAGCAAAGGCCCTATTTCCAAATAAGGTCACATTCTGAAGTTCAGGGGGATGTGAATTTTTGTGGGACACCATTCAACCCACTACAGACACCCATCCATCAGCTGTGTCAGACATTGGTAAGAGCCTGGTTTGAAACATCAGAAAGTCCTGGGTTCGAATGCAGGCTCTGCTCTTATTAAGTAGCTGATCTCGGCCACTTAGCCTCACTAAGCCTTATGTTCCCCATCTATAAAGTGAATCTAATAATACTATCCATGTCTTATGGTCGTTGAAAGAATGAAACCAACTGGTAGATGTAAAGTTCTTAGCATGGGTATGGCAGGCTGTGGATACTCAAGTGGTAGCTGTTGTTCACATAATAAACGTGTTCCATTATGGGGCTCAAGAGTGGGCTAGAAGCCATCTACGGTCCTTCCTGACTTTGGGAGTCCAGGATTTCATGGGACTCTGTGCTATGCCACCCTCCTTCCATCCTGCCTATACCAGATTGTGGGGTCGTCATTTCTCCCCAGGAGGCAGCACAGTGGTCTTTGAGTTTCCCAGGCAGTGAGGTAGAGGTGGAGACGGGAATTCCAGAGATTGGGGGATTCTCATGGGCTGTGGTTAGGTGCCGGAGAACGTCTTCTGGGAGAGGATGTCAAGGGTCTGAGAGGGCCCACCCAGGACAGTTTGTATCCTCTGATGGGGGGTGTCTGACTGCAGAGCCATTGCATCTTCATGGGGTGAGTTTCTAAAGTCCACCTGTGGAAGGGAAACTAGAGAAGGCCAACGCTGAACATGGGACCCGAGACCGGTTCCATCCCCTTCTCATCTTTAGTTCTGGACGTCCGCTCACAGAGGGGAGTGGCTGAGAGTCTATACTTCTCCCCCCCCGCCCCCCCCATCCTGAGAACCTATAGTTGGGTTCCTGTTGATCCCAGCTCATGTGTGGGTGGGATCTCCAGCAGGGGCGAGAGCAGCATGTGAGCCCCTCCACCATTTCTTCCTTTTCTTCCTTCTAGCTTTTCAACCTCTCTGAGCGGAGACCTGACATCACGAAGCTCCACGCCAAGGTGAGCCCATGCTGAGTAGGGTGGGAGCATCTACCCGCCTGGGAGGGGAGATAACAGACAGTCCCCCTAGCCCCTCGGGTCCCACGTCAGAGTCTTAGGGAAAGTGCTGTGACAGTTTGCAAAGCCTATTACAGTGCCATCTTCTCCTTGGATAATGGGAAAGAATCTATTCATTGTTTCCATAATACGAACTACAGAAAGCAAAGCTCGATGATTTCTACCCAGCTCTGCCTCCCTGGGGAGCCCTTAGGATCTCTGGGTGAGGCTGGAGCTGTGAGATTGTTAGCTTCTTTGAAAGGTTTCTTGGCTTTAAACTGGCTAGGAATGGCCGACATGGACCTTCCCACTGCCAGCTCTCACTTGCTCATCCTGTGGGCCGTGGGCCGGGCTCTGCATGGCGCCTGCTCCCGGCTCCTGGATTCTGGTGCCTGTTGCTGTGTGACCCTGGGAAGGTGACACACTTTTCTGGGCCTCAGTTTGCACCTCTGAAAGTGGACGGGCTGGATTAGGTATATTCTCTGGGCCTTTCCAAACAGAAGTTCTCTTTTACTGTAAAGTTCTGTGAGTTTAGAAAAGTTTTGAGAAGCTGGAGACTGGGGTTCAGATCTGCCCTCTGTCTCCTTCAGCTTCTCTGGGCTGGCCTGAAAAATCAATGGTGTGTGGCCAGGGCCTGGAAAAGAGCCACGAACAGCCAGGAACCCTTTGCTCTGCCCTCGCCCTGAGCCAGGCCTTGGGGTTGTCTGTGGGAGCAGAGCTTGGGGGCAGTACTGGGGGCACCATTACATTTTGAGGTCAGAGTCATGTGGAAGGGACCTTGCCTTTGTTTTACTCACACATGAGAAATTGAGGTTAGGAGAAGGGCCATGACTGGCTGGGGCCCCACAGCAAGCCAGTGTCAGAGCTGAGACTCAGGCTGAGAGTCCCTGGTCCTGGCCATTGTCCTATCCCTCCACACCCCCACCTCCCAGATGGGCTGATAGGCAGGGCAGGAACCAAGGCCCAGCCGCTGGTGGCCACTGCCCGGTACTAGCATGTGGAGTGTGTGCTGCCCCCACTGCCCTGGTTGACCGTCTGGGCTTCTGCCACTTATCACTCCTGTCTTGGGCCGCAGGTACTGGAATTTGGCTGGCCTGACCTCCACACCCCAGCCCTGGAGAAGATCTGCAGTGTCTGCAAAGCCATGGACACTTGGCTCAACGCAGACCCCCACAATGTCGTCGTTCTACACAACAAGGTCAGAGTCGGTTGCAGGGTGTGTGAGTGTGTGTGCGTGTATGTGTGTGACCGTGCGTGCGCATGCCCATGTGTGAATGTATCCTTGGATGAGGGTATCTCCTGGCCTGTATCATTGGATTGTGTGAGTGTGGAAGTCTGTTTATTCTCCTTTGTAGGGATGGTAGATCCTGTCCCGGGGGCCCCCACAGGAAGTGTGGAGCCCTCAAGTGTAGTGGGTGATTATCTGTGTTTCTTCTCTTTGAGACTTAGTTGCCCACCCTCGTGCCTCCCCATATCCCCTCCCTCCTCCTGGTCTCCCTTAGAGCCACACCCTTCTCTCCAGCCCCTGCCCTCTTCCCTCCAAGGCTCTGGATGGGCATGGGAGCAGTAGGCCGGCCTTAGAAATAAAGGCTTTTGTGTTTGGGGGCTCTTTCAGGGAAACCGAGGCAGGATAGGAGTGGTCATCGCCGCTTACATGCACTACAGCAACATTTCGGCCAGGTAAGAGGGCCCCCGAGCCTCCTGTTCTCTGCATATTGACCCACCCACGATTTCTCCCTTCCTTGGGGCGGGAGGATAAAGACAGAGGGCGTGAGAGGTTCTTAGGATGAGGAAGGAAGGTGCCTGTCACACCCCAGGAGCCTGTGTGTGGAGGGCAGGAGAGAGGAGAATCCATCCCCCCATTGTCCAGCCTTGGGAGATGGGCCCATCTGTGAATACCCCATCCAGCCAGATTCTTGGGGCCACTTTTTCTTGCCAAACTGCCTTCTGTTTTCCTGGGTGAGCAGGGAGGGTGTCTGCAGGAAATGCTGGATCAGATCTGGGTCCAGCAGAACCGTCTGGGAGTTATCTCATCCATCCCCCTGTCCCTGGCCAGCAGGTCCTGTTCCCACTTAGGGGTTTGGGGCAAGACTAGTAAACCAGCAGTGCCCTGTTTTGATTCCATTTTGCAGAGAGGCAGAGGGATCCATCCACTCATTGGTTTATTCTCTAGACTGAATAGTAGTTACTGAACAGCCACACACTGTTCTAGGTGCTGGGATACAGCAGTGGGCAGAGCCAGGCCACTGTCCCATGGACTCTAAGTATATAAGCAAGTGTATCTGTAATAGCAGGTGATAAGATCTGTGAAAGAATGGAGACTAGAGCATGACAGGAGTCAGAGGAGGCCTCTGGAGGAGGTGATATTTGAGCAGAGACCCGAATTAGGTGGAGGAGAGCGGGACCGGCTGAGTCACATAAAGTCTGAGAGGGAACTTCCCTGGCAGAGAGAGGAGGAAGGGACAAGGCCTGCGGTGGGAATGCCATGCGAGGAGCTGACATGTTTTGAGCTGAGTGAGTGAGGGCATGAGGAGTAGGAAGTGAAGCTGGAAGGGGGCAAGCCTTGTAGGACTCGATAAGGACTTTGGGTTTATTCTAAGAGTGATGGGAAGTCGTTGGGAGAGTCAAGACGGGGCAAGCTATGGGACCGGTCACTACATTTTAAGATGATCTCTCTGAGCGCTCTGAGGATGGGTAGAGGGTTCTGTGGAGGGCTTGCCAGTAGGATGGCAATTTTACAACTTTAAGAAATCTGTCTTAGCCTAATCTTTGCTTACTGGTGCATACTTGCTGTGCACCTACTATGTGTCTATAGGCGCCAAGCTCTTTAGAGATGTTAGCCCACTTGATCGCCATAACAAACTTTGAGGAGGAAGGCAACTATCCCTCTCATTTGACATGAAATAAAAAAAAATCAGTTTCAGGAAGATTAAATAACCTGCCCTAAGGATAGTGCTGAAGTGGTGGACTAGTGATGGGCTCCCAGCTGTCTAGCTCCAAAGCCCCCGCACAGCACACAGGATCGCGAGCTGCCAGGGTGCTCTTTTCCTGAAAGCACCTCAGCACAGGGTGGCTGCAGGACTCTGCAGGTCTGGGGAGCGGGGAGGGGGCTGGAGGGGCTCTTGCACTTGGATGTTGGCTCCTCTCACCACCTGTCTTTCCCCCCAGCGCCGACCAGGCACTGGACCGGTTTGCAATGAAGCGCTTCTATGAGGATAAGATTGTACCCATTGGCCAGCCGTCCCAGAGAAGGTGGGTCACAGCCCAGTGCACATGTGTGTGCTCGCTAGTGTGGGGACTAGCCTCATGGACCCACGGGGGATGGAACAGCATGCCTTGGTGAGGGTGTACTAAATATGCATGTTCAGGGGCCAGTCTGGAGGGGTCTGAGATCAGGGACATGGGTGAGCCCATGAGCAGCTGTGTATGTGCCCACAGGTGGGCAGGGCAGTTGGCTCCTGAGGCTGGTACTGGAGAGCAGCGGGGGCATCGGTGGGGGACACGTTGGTTTGGGTGTAAGAAGGCGGATTGTATGAGGAGGCAGTGCCATTCTTGGTCCTGGAAGCAGGATCGCTTCAGTGTTTGGATGAGTCTACAGGAAGCTGAGGTCCCTGCCACCTGCCCAGGGAGGTCACATACACTCTTGATAACAGTCACTTTTTACTGGGTGTGCTTTAAAAACTTTATCGAGGGCACTCAACCACGTGGTCTCATTGGAGTGCACAACAGCCCAGGCAGGAAGCAGGGCAGGGACTGAGGCAGTCATTCATTTGGCAAATTTCAGGCAGTCTGCTATGCTCCAAACACTAGAGATATCTAGTTGAATGGGACAAAATCCATTGCCCCTTGTGAGGTGATACTCTACTGAGAAGGATGGACACTATACAGAAAATACGCAGACAAGACAATTTCAGATCGTGATTAATCCTAGGAAAGAAAGAGAGAGCGCTGCAGAGATGAGAGCTGAAGGGAGGGGAATGGGGCTATTTTAATGACCATGGTTGCTGGGGTCCAGCCCCAGCGGTCCAGGGGTTCCCAAAGGTGTGGACGGAGACAGCTTCAGAACTCTCTAGCTTTCCTTAGTCTCCGTGGATCTTCCTGTGTCTAGCTGAGGCCACAGAGAAAGATCCCAAGGCAAGCTGAGCCTTTATTTTATAGTGAGAGGTAAACAAGGTAGTGGTTTCCATAGTTACACAGTTCTTGTGAGTTTCACTTGTTTACACTCTTCTTGTGAGTTTCACTTGTTTTTGTTCTTGTTGCACTTCCCTCAGCCCATTAGCTTCCCGAGTAAGATCTAGGAAGCGTCATAAGGTCAAGACTAATTATGCTTAAGAGGACTGTGCCCTCTAAGCTGGGACTTGTTTGTGACTTTGCCCACAGGTCAGTCCGAGGCTTAACCCTATATCAGCTCCCCACACAGGGTCAGGGAATACCTCTCAGAGGAGGGGAATTTGAGCCCAAAGCTGAGTAATGCCGACCTACCACATGACGATCCAGGGCATCCCCATTTTACAGGAGGGAAGCCTGAGCCCAGAGGGAAGGGATGTGACGTGGCCAGGGCCCACAGAGAGCAGTGGCAGAGCCAGAATGTACTTGGGACCTCCCCCCTGGCTGTGCCATCCACCATGCTGAGGGCTCCCCCTGGATTCAGCTCTGTGGGTTGCATGCTGTTTAGTGATGTCTGATTCACAGGAAGGCACAGGTAGTGTCAGGATCAGGTGGGCCTTGGGGGGCTGCATGTGAGTGGGAGCCAGAATGGTGGAGTCCCAGACCCAGAGTGGAGAACTGGAGAGTTGGACTCCAGCCTTCCCCCTGTGTGGCCAGAGCTATGGGCCCATCACACCTGTCTGTGATGTGTCACATTGGGCTACACGCTAAGGCTATGGTGCTGAATCTCTCAGGCAAGGTCTCTTGGGGCTTACCTTCTGGTGGTTGACACCCACAAAAATTAGCCATCACGGTCATTTCAGAGAGTGAGAAGTGCTTTGAAGGGGGTAAACCAAAACAGAACATGATGGGCAAGAGAGTGATGGGAGTGGGCACGAGGGGCTGACTCAAAGGGACCCACTTTTCTGAGAAGGTGATGTGTGAGGTGAGGTTTGAGAAGGGAGAAGGAAGCATCTAAGTGAAGGGCTGGGGTACAGGGTCTAGGCTGGGAGGTCACAGTGTCCCATTGCTTTCCTAGCCCTTAGGCCAGCAGGACCCCTTTGCTGCAAGTCCGGGGGCTTCCCAGACTCTCCGGGTTGGGTGTCCCCAACTCACATCACTCGTATCTTGCTTGCCTTTCTAGAAGTGTGCTGGCACTGCTGGGGATGGTTTCCGCCATTGGAGCGGGAAGCCCTAGCAGAAATGAGTGAGTCCTCAGGCAACGCAGGGTCTTACAATTGGTACAAGACAGCCGGTAGGCAGCCTCAGGTCAGCTGGATCAGAAACCGATGCCTTTATGTGCAGAAAATTCTGGCTAGGCTGCCAGACACAGCAGCTGTGGGTCCATGAGAGTGTTCCCAGGGAAGAAGTCTCAGGGAGGAAAGAGCTGTCACTCAAGTACCCTCTCCTCAGTCCCTGGCTTGCCACTTATGGCTGTCAGCCTTGGTTATGAGTCTAGCCCTTGCCCTTGAAGGATAAGGGGTACAAATAGAGGAGCATGATGTTACAGTGGTACAACATGGCTTGGAGAGAGCAGGCCGAGTAGTCACATCTCTGAAGCTGAAACCCTGGAGAATGGGGATCAGTGTTACCTCTCAGGAATAGGATTATGCAGGGATTCCACAGTGCTTGGTGTGTATGTGTACATTATCTGTGTCTGCCTTGCAGCTCATATCTGCACCCACATCTGCTTATGGGTGTGTAATTCTGTTTGTTCCCAAATGTGAAAGTGCAACTGTTGGGTTTACCATGCATTCATTGCCACTTTCCCGCCTTCTTGTCAGTGTCACTGGTAAGGAATGAGGCCGTTGAGGAGAAGAGGGCAGGCAGAGAAAGAGGGAGGGGCTTGGCCTGCAGCTCCCCCATTCATTGTCACCCCACCCCCGGACTCATTGTCCTCAGCACACAGACACATCCTGTTGGCACGATCAGAAGTTCTGATAGGAACCCGCCATTCCAGGTTTCCGCTTTGAGTAATGGGGCTGGGGGCTGGGCAGGGGCCTGAATAGGAGCTGGTGCTGCCCATCAGATTATCTTGCTAGGGTTGTCCTAAGTGGCCCCACCCTGGCCCAGGGACAGAGGCCCACGGGCGTGGAGATGGGCCAGGGAGTCAAGATATAGGAGGGGACTATTATCATGGTCATGTGGGTTCTGGTCTCACCCACTTCAAAAGCCCATGTTGGCTCCCTCGGAGTCTCAGATGCATTCTGATTGGTTCAGCTTGGCGTCCTCTGGCCAGTCAGAGAAGGAGGAAGTGCTGGCCAGTGGTGGAAGGATTAGCCTCTGTTCTGGCAGATGCATTGGAGTCAGACTTTTTTCCTTCTCTCCCCATTCACTCTCAGCTTTGTGTGTTCTTGCTGTGTGTCTCTGGGAGGCTAATGAGCCTTTATGAACCTAATTTTTTCGTTCTGTTTAGAAGGAGTGGGATAGGTTAATCCTTCCATTCTTCTAACAAGATCTTTGTTAAAAAAATTGGGAGATGTTGACCCTAGAGATAGAAATACTTAGTGGAAGTTAGATATCTTCCAACACCAAATGAAATGCTCTAGGTGGATTTTCATACACTTAGCATGATCTTAAAAAGTGAAAGACTATAATTATTATGCTCTTACTGTTTGCTGGAGTGTCATGTGGCTGGTGGGATTATGTGGAGCTGACCCAGGGTCTGTGCGTATAAATGTCAGCTTGGTTTGGGCTCAGTATAAGGGTGTCAGAGTTATTTGATAGTGGATCAGCCTGCCTTGTGTAGTAGTGAGCAGTTGAAGGATGCCTGTCAGGGATGTGTGGGAGGAATGGTCCAGCAGGAGATTCCTGGGCTGGGAGTGAAGCAGGAAAGAGATGCTCACGTTAACCACCAGGGGGCGCTGGAGAACCCCAAGTAGGGGGTTTGGCTTGACCCAGCTCCAGGTCTTATAGAATCTGCTTTTTCTCCCTACCTGGAGCTCCAGACAACAAGGGAGGACTGTGCTGGGCTGAGACCTCAGCTACCTGGAGGCCTGGGGGCATTGGTGGGGGACTAGGCAGGCAACCTAGGGCAGTGTTATGGTGGAAAAGAATATGGGATGGCTCGGCCCCGGCTCAGACCTCCTTGGCTGAAGCTGCCCCTGTCCCTGCTCCAGGTACGTGCATTACTTCAGCGGCCTGCTCTCTGGCACCATCAAAATGAACAACAAGCCCTTGTTTCTGCACCATGTGATCATGCATGGCATCCCCAACTTCGAGTCTAAAGGAGGTACTGACCCCAGCCTCTGGCTTCCCAGCCCCTCCTGTCTTCCTTCACCTTCTCTGAAGAGGCAGCCATGGTAAAAAATATAGGCTTGGATTGGAGTCTCAATGGCACCACTTCCCAAGCTTTCTTTAGCCCCAGTTTATCATTTGCAGAATGGGTTTGATACTTGCAACACCTGCTGGCAGATAGTGGATGGGAAATGTTTTTGTCAACTTAAAGTGCCTTTCAAATGAAAAGCTAGTATTCCTTGCTCCGTCTCTTTCCATTTCTCCTTCATCTTTTCTCCTTCCCCTTTCTCTCCCCCTCCTTTCTTTCTCCCCCACCTCCTTCACTCCTCTCCCTCTTCCCACAATTCCTACTGTTGTAGCTAACACCACCCTTCCTTACAGGGTGTCGGCCATTTCTCCGGATCTACCAGGCTATGCAACCTGTTTACACATCTGGCATCTAGTAAGTATTCCATGGGAATGAGAGTCCCGGATGCCAAAGCTCCGAGGCTGAGGACCAGGAGCAGGGACGTGTGTGTGTGTGATGGTGGTGGTGGTGGTGGTGGTGGTGGCTGCTGCCTTGAATCTCTTCCAGGAGAGGGCTAAGGGATGAAGTCGGCAAGGTTTCCTAGTAGCTTGGTGGCAGAGGGGCAGCAGGGAGAAAAGCACTGCCTGCCCCCCTCCAGTTGTCCCTCTCTCTCTGCCCGCCTCTTCCCCACAGCAACGTCCAAGGAGACAGCCAGACCAGCATCTGCATCACCATCGAGCCTGGGCTGCTCTTGAAGGGAGACATCTTGGTGAGCGCTGCCCCTCTGGCTCTAGCCCCTCCTCCTCATTTATTTTTCTCCCATCTTCTCTCTTCCTGCGCTCCTCCTGCCTCTCCAGACAAGACCTCACTCCTGGTGGGCCACCAGCCTTAGCGTTGTAGGCTCTCAGGGTTCCTGCAAGGCCTTGCAGCCTCTGACAATGCTTGTGCATTCTCCGGCCTCGGAGTTGGATGCCTGCTGGGCTTACCTCTAATTCTGGAACAGCTCCAGGGAAATGTCTCCCAGTGGGAGCTCTTACCTCCTGGCTTCTTACTGGTGACAAGGACTCCCTCAATTCTAGCTTCAGCCCTTCCCCCATCAATTTAAATCCACTCCTACTTTTTCCATTCTGATCTGTGTGCAGGAAATTCTTGAGAGGCAGTTTTATCCCCATGGGATAAGACTGGCCTCCAACTCTCTGCTCTTCTAGAAGTTTCCCCAGAGGCTCTGAGATCCTGTTTGTGTTGGTGACCTCTCCCTCACTGGGTTTGGGGTGAGCCTGGGGGGCCCAGTCTTGGAGCTGATAAAGAAGCTCCCTGGGACCCGGTTTCCCACCCGTGGGCGCCTGATGGGCTCTGCTCTCTTTCTCGCCCAGCTGAAGTGCTACCACAAGAAGTTCCGGAGCCCAGCCCGAGACGTCATCTTCCGTGTGCAGTTCCACACCTGTGCCATCCATGACCTGGGGGTTGTGTTTGGGAAGGAGGACCTTGATGATGCCTTCAAAGGTGGGCTCATTGAGTGGAGAGGTAGACCTAGCAAGGGGTAATTCTATCACAGGGTAGAAGAGCAATTATGGGGGGGGGGCATGGCAGCAGTGAAGGGGAACTGTTTCTTGGGGAAGGGGAGGTGGTCAGGGGGATGTCTCCCTTTGTTTCTTTTCTCTATTCTTTTGAGGTTTTGTCTACATCACATTCAGGACTGGAACATATCTACATCTATCTATCCATTCATCCATCTATTCACTTGTCCGTGCATCTACCCACCTACCCATCTAAAGTTATCCATCTATACACTCATTAATCCAAATCCATCTATCCATCCATTTACCTATCCGCTGATTCATCCACCTGTCAATCCATCCACTTACCTCCTATATACCTACCCATCCATCTACCCACCCATCTAAATCTATCCATTTACTCATCCACCTACCCACTTGTTCATGTTTTTATCCATTTATCTATCCATTAATCTATCCATCCACCCACCTATTCAAATCCATCCACCCATTCATCTGTCCGTCCATCCATCCATCAACCAAGCATCACTTGTGTGTCTATATGTGCCAGGCGTGTGCTAGATCTTAGGGATGCAATGAGAAAGAGTCCATAACCTCAGTCTTATGGAAGGATGAGACACACAAACATGACACTACAAAGTGATGCCTTCAGTGATAGAGACATGCACAGGCATGATGGGTGCCCCAGGGAGTGGACACCATCCTGATAACTTCACAGTGTATGATGATCTGTGTCCAGATTGGGCTCAGGGAGGGAGCGGAGAGCGGGGCTGGGACTTGGAGGAGGAGGGGAATGACCCACTTGTGTAGTCTGGCTGGTGTAGGAGAAGGATGTGCCCTGTGATGTGTTTCCCTGCACTGGAGGCAGGAAGGCAAAAGCAGAAGATGCTGTTATAATTATAGAACAGAATGAATGTTATCAATCTTAACAAGGAACAATAAAGGAATAGTTGACACAATAAAGGTGGGGTTGGTGAAAGATGGAAGAAAGGGAGGGGCACAAATTCCTTCTCCTACATAGAGGGAGTCAAGACACCATAAAAAATGGACAGATCAAGCACAGCTGGTGTGGCTCAGAGGTTGAGCATTGGCTTATGAACCAGGAGGTCATGGTTCAATTCCCAGTCAGGACACATGCCCAGGTTGCGGGCTCGATCCCCAGTGGGGGGCATGCAGGAGGCAGCCAATTAATGATTCTCTCTCATCATTGATGTTTCTATCCCTCTCTCCTCCCTTCTTCTCTCTGAAATCAATAAAAATATATTAAAAAAGGACAGATCAAGAAATAGAGGCTTAACTATAGTATTTAAAGTTTCAAATGTAATCAGTAGAATATGATGATGATGAGAATAATACCAGACTTTAGAAGAAGGGAGGTAGGAGTAGTAAAGTGAGCCAAATTATTCATTTTCATAGTGGTGAATCAATGGGGATTATTTAAAACTGATGTACCTAAAAATAGTGACATAAAAACTGGCTAATATTTAGAGTCTTAGAGGTAACCACTAGTAGAACAAGAAATAGAAATGGTTAGAAATGATTACCTCAGGTAAATAGGACTGGGTCAAGGGAGGGCAAGAGACTTAATTTTATATATATTTATATTTCATATAAATATATAACTTAATATATTATCAATGTGTATGTGTGTTATTTTAATCTTTTCTAGAAGAAAACCTTTTATGGAGTCCTTTTTAGAAATTGAGTGCCCATTTTATTTTTCTCCTTTTTCAGATGATCGATTTCCAGAATACGGCAAGGTGGAATTTGTATTTTCTTATGGGCCAGAGAAAATTCAAGGTATAATTCAAATTAGAATCCATTCATCATTCACTTCTTCCCGTCTATCCTGGCCTGTTCCCGCCCCTCCTTCACCATTCTCTCACTGATCTTCTCTATAATTGTCAAGTTACCTATGTGATTGAAAAGCAGGCCAACAGTAAAAGATCTGGGTATCATAGTGGACCCCCAGCTAAACATGAACCAGTGACTTAATCTCTGGGTAATAAAAATAAAAAAGCAGACAGAGAGGCGCTGGGTTGGATAAACTGTTCTAGTCCCTTAGGTCATCATGCTATTATATTTAGAGACTGTGGGCCATGGAGGACGAGGGTGTGGCTGAGGGGACACTCCAAGGTGCTGGCTAAATGATAGGCATTTCTGAGAACTGAGGCGATTCAACCTGAAGAGGAGAAGACCAATTTAATAATAGCCTTTCAGTCTTTAGACTGGTTATATGGGGAGACCAGTTGTTCTCCATCTTATCTGAGGACAGAATGGGAGGATATGAAGTTAGGTTATAGACAGGGGGACTCTGGATAGATTAAAGAAAGGACTGCTAGCTCAGGGAGGTGACTCAGCCCAGAATGTCTGCCTGGCAGCTTGTGCTGTCTTCATTCTGGGCTTTCTCTGGATGTGTAGGAGGGATTCTGTCTCTCCCCTCAGATTTCTACCTCGAGTGGGGAGCTTCTTAAGTTGGGGGCAGGAATATGGCCTGGGTGACCTTGTGTCTTCTCAATGTCAAGGCTGTGAGCCCTGCTTCTCCCACACTCCCGCTGACCTCAGGGGCAGACTCTGGTCTCCCTGCACTGCTCCTAGGACACAGAAAAGAAAGAAGCAGAACTCAGCAGAGGGTCCCCCAGCTTTCTCTTGGGGGAGGGGGTCTTCATTCCTTAGTGCCCTGTCCTGATTTACCCCTATGACCTGGTATGAGCCTTTTCAAGAATGCAAGAAACCAGACCCCTGGGTTCTCCGTCCAACTGAAGCCACTGGTCCCGCCCCGCCCCGCCCCGCCCGGGTCAAGAAAATGAGAAGTCCCGTAGGGAGCATCCTTGGGGGATCTTGTTGGCTTCCTCTGTTTTTCCAGCTGCGGATCTCTTCCTTTTCTCCTCACTGTCTTCTTGCCCTTCCCCATCCTTGTAGGCATGGAACACCTGGAGAACGGGCCGAGTGTGTCAGTGGACTACAACACCTCTGACCCCCTCATCCGCTGGGATTCCTACGACAACTTTAATGGGCATCGCGATGACGGCATGGAGGGTAGGTGGGACCAGTGGCCGCCTGTCCCTCTCCAAACTGCTCAACCCCGCACACAGGGCCTGGGCTCTCTTGTTTGATGGGACACCATACTGGGCTCAGAGGGGAGGCAGAGGAGAGGTCCGGGGCACCTCGGAGAGCTCACAGTTCAGTGGGAGAAGATAAGACAAACGTGAGTGTGTTAAATAATGAAGACAGAGCTAAAAAATGAAGCTAAACAGCCACCTTGAGGGTGTGCCGTTGGTGCCAAATGAGTCCCTCGATGGCGAGTACTCTGAGATCGGGAGGGGAGGTATTCTTGTTAGCTAGAGTGACCTGGGAGGGCTCCTCAGAGGAGGTGGCCTTGAGTGGTACCTCAAGTACCCCCTGTGATGCCAACACAGCATTTGTTAGATTTCTTTTAAGTCCTGCTGCTGCAGTTCTGCAGCCTCGCTGCCTGAACTCTCTGGGGTCAGAGCACTGGGAATGTAGACACAGCATCTAGGGCCTAGAGGCTTTCATCGACAGCCAACGAAAATGTTTGAGAGCTGGAAACAAACAGATAGGCTCCACAATTTGTAAAGAAAACGACAGAATTGAAATTAATACATGTTTAGCTACGAAACCTAACATTATGTCAGATGGTCAACTGCAACTCAGTTCAACTCTTGAGAGCTATGTGTGGGTTATATTTTTTTATGTGGTTCATTTGAATATGTGATGAGATGCAGGGCGGGGCCTCCAAAAGTGAGCATCCTGGAGCTCTTGAGATGCCCTGCCTGGGGTTTGGCCGCAGGCTTGTTTCCCTGACTTGATCCCAGGACCGTGCAATGTGGGAGCTGGGAGGACCCTCAGGCCCACAGGCCCACCCCTCCATCAGTTATCCGTCGGGGCAATAGAGACCCCCTTGAAGGAAGGGTCTCCTGATTTACCCCCATGATCTGGATGTGTTCCTTCCACCAGCGCCCAGCCTATGGGCTTCTCCTTCCAGCTGGAGCTGGTTCTGGGGGGGCTGCGTGGCAGAGCTGGGTTCGGGAGAACCAGGCACCCGCACCCTGCCTCCCTCCTCCCTCTCCCAGGTTCTGGATCTGTGGACTCCACCCTCAAAGCCTTTTAAGCCTTTTCTTGCATAAAGATTTTCCTTCTGACCTTGGAGACACCAGCGTGAGCGATGTGGGAGGAGGGCGGTGGTTGGGTTAGAATTTAGGGCTTGGTGAGGGCCTGTTGTTTATGCGCAGCATTGCAAAGCTGAAGGCTTGTCCTCAGACCCACCCTAGTTCCCTGCCCTTCCTCCCCCCAGGGGTGCAGACACCACACCAGGGCCTTCCTCACCCTGCAGAGGCAGCCCCCAAAAGGCACTACTTCTCCCCCTGCCTCCGCCCCAACCCCATCCACTTGTGCTAAGTGGCTGAGGATGAGGCAGAGGATGAAATAAATTAGTCTGAGGTACCAGTGGCTGCCAGCCTAATTGTTCATCTTCTGGGGATGTTTGCATTTTTAACAAGAACACTTGGCAATTTGAAGGAATTTTCAATGTCTCCCCATCTCTCCCTGGTGTGGATTCAATGCGATGATAAATGTAAAAACATTTGGTAAACTCTAACGTGCCAGGCAAATAAAAGGTAACATAATTAAGGGGGAAGAGGAGCGGCTGTGGACGGTCAGGGCTTGGGACACTGGGCTGTGAGGGAAGGAAGAGGGAAGACGGAACAGTGAGAGGCAGGGAAGAGGAGGGAGAGGCTGAGGGGAGGCCCTGGACTCCTCCTGGCCCCTGGCCTGCCTTCTTCCCTCCTGCAAACCCGCTCCCCCAGGCAGGGGTGGAACCAGAGGGACCTTTTGGCCAGTTAAAGGTCAGCTCCTGTAGGGACAGAGGGGCTCCTGTCTGGAGGCTGAGAATTGGCTCTATGCCTACAGGGTGGGCAGGGGAGGCAGCTCACGCCCTGGCATCCTCTCCCCTGGCCTGGCCTGGGAGGGGAGCTGTGAGCTGGGGTGGTCACCAGGGCAGGCCCCACCTGTCCCATGGTGTGCTCTCTGCTGCTGCTAGGCCGCAGCGCCCACAGGGACAGGAAAGCAAGCTGTGAGCGGCCCTGGGGTGGGAGCAGGAGCCTTATCCCCATCCTGCCTGGGGTACTTCTGCCAGGCTCTAGATCCTGGGGCCCAGAGATAAAAGCATTTTCCTTTGGCCAATTCTCCAGGCAAGAGAGGGAAAGCAGGAGGCCTGTGTCTGTCTCCCTAGCTGTGGACAAGTCCCTGTGCCCCAGTTTCCCCATGTGCCAGCTGGGTTAGGGGCAACTAATCCCCAAGATTCTGGGGTGCTCAGGAGATGCTTAAGCTGGAGCGTGGGAGGGGGCCTGACTGTTCCCTGGAGTGATGGGGCTGGGGGGTGGCCTGGGGTGATGAGGCACCTCAGGCGGCTCTGCCTGCTCTCTGGGACGTGCTGGACCAGGACGGCCGGCTGCCCTAGGCACTGCAGTGCAGTGGGTGAGCAGGTGTGCTTCCCAGGCCGCCTGCCTGGGTCCAAATCCCAGCTCTCTCCTCTGCGCTGCATGTCCTGGGTCCGATTAGTTAGCCTTCCCGTGGTCCTAGCGTCCTCATCTGCAAACTTGGGGCCGGAATAGTATCCATGTCGTTGGGTGTAGCAATTTCCAGGAGAGGCAGGTTAGTGTATGGGTTAAGAATGTGGCTTCCAGAGTTAAACCCCACCCGGGTTCAAATCCTTTGATAAGATGCCATCCTCTTGGGGCCTCAGTTTCCTCTGCTGTAAGATGGGGATCCAGTGAACAATTTTCTGGGTCAGCAGTTGTGGAGGGGCTGCCTGCTGCGTTTTCTCATGAGTCTCTGGCATATCAGTAGTTGCTGTGGCAGCATCTCAAGGGTCTGCAGGCAGGGCTGAGGGAGAAGGCCCCTTGGCCTTGGGAGACAGCTCTGGTTTTGCCACATGCCAGCTGTGGTGCCAGTGCTTGGTAGTCACCATCTCTTCTAACACAGGCACCTGGGAAGTGGGCACTATTTTTAAAAATATATATATTTCTTTATTGATTTCAGAGAGGAAGGGAGAAGGAGAGAGATAGAAACATCAATGATGAGAGAGAATCATTGATTGGCTGCCTCCTGCACACCCCCTACTGGGGAATGAGCCCACAGCCCAGGCATGTGCCCTTGGCTGGAATCGAACCTGGGACCCTTCAGTCCGCAGGCTGACGTTCTATCCACTGAGCCAAGCCAGCTAGGGCAGGAGGTGGGCACTATTATACAGTTAGATGGGGGCACTGGGGCACAGAAGGCTTAAGTACCCTGCCCAGGATGGCCTAGCTAGTTAAGAGAGGATCTGAGTGTGAAAGCCAGCGCTAACCACTGAGTAGTCCCTGGTTGACTGGCATCTCCAGGGGCCTGTTCTGGGTATCTGGTCCTGTGTTCATAGCTGGGTCCCTGCTGAGCTTGGGTGAGTGTCTGCCTGCTTTACCCCCCCACTTCTCACCCCTGGGTGGATCAGATCACCCTGGTCCTGCCTCTCACAATGAGAGAGGGCTTAGAGGAGGTGGTGCGTGCAGCGAAGGACCTGGGAGGCCGCCGGGCTGGCCCCGGGGCAGGTGCTCGCAGGTCCCCGGAGCAGGGAACAACTGAGACACATCCCTTCATGTCTCTCCCCCACCTCCCAGGAGGTGAGGGGCTGCTCACTCAGGAATGCCTCTGGTGAGGGGCTGGCGTCTCAAAATAGGTGGAGAGTAATGTGTCCAAGGTGAGATGAGGCCATTTGTGGAAGCAGCCTGCCTCTGCTATTTCAGGCCAGCCGGGGGAGTGGACAGGAGAGGCCGGGCCAGGCCAGGACCTCTGGAGCCCACTGGGTGACTCAGGGGAGGGGAGGGGCACTGAGCCAGGCACTCTGGAATGAAATCTTTGCTGGCCTGGGCCTTACTTACCTTGTCCCCTCCCTGGAGTAAGGGGTGGCCAACACTGGGGTCAGAGCTCCTGTTTCTCTGGGCAGCCCTCCAGGTGACCTTGACTTAACCCTCAGTGTCACGACGGTTCTGTGTTTAACCCCTCCCTCGCTGCCGGCATCCCCACCCTTCACCCTCCCAATTCCGGACTCAGGTGGGTGGCATTGTGACGCGTAGTGCATTCCTCCACTCTCCAGGACAGCCCTGATTCATCTCAGCGGCAAAATGAAGGAAGAAAGCGCCACCTGGGGACTTCTGTTCTCCCAGGCTGGCGTGGCCCTTGCCAACCATAGAGCCCATCTAATGCCATCCTGCCACAGTGGGGAAATTGAGGCTCGGGAGGGGAAGGGACCTGCCAAATTGGGAGGCAGTCCCCACATGTGGAACCCACCTTTGCATGATCATAGCTTCTGCTGTACTGGCAACCACACTGGTGTGGCACGTTGGGCAATGTTGCCAGAGGTCATGACATAAGAAGTGGAGCTGGTACTTGAATCTGGGGCTTCAACTCCACATCCCTTTCCACCTGCTTTAAAACTCAGCTTGTTCGGCACCTACACACCCCTATATCAGGTGGCTCCCCAACTTCTCAAACCCTCAGGTGACAGGGAGCTTGCTGCCACACAGCGTGGCCCATTCCACAGTGTGATAAACCCAGGAGATTGAACCAGAAAAGAGAGGGAGAAGGAAGAGTGTGCTTCCCCATGGGGGACCGAGGCTGGGGTGACCATGGGTTCTTGGGGACCATTGTGACTCACCTGCATTTAAGCTAAAAGGAGGGGCAAGTGAAGAAAGGGGAAGAATCAGTGGAAGCTCAATGTCAAGAACTTTCTGACCATAGACGTTTCCAGGCCTTGGGAGAGGTGACTGGGAGGCAGGGGGCCGCCTGCTCTCTCAGGGACCCCTTTGTTTGGGAGCAGTGCCCTCTGCTGAGCCCAATGGCCCGGTGTCTTAGATTGGGCTGCCACCACCAAGCAACACGGAGTGAGGGGCTTAGACAATAGACATGAATTTTCTGAGAGCTCTGGAGGCCAGAAGTCAGAGATCAAGCTGTCGAAAGGGTTGGGTCCTCCTGAGGCCTCTCTC